GAAACTATGCCACGTATGAAAAAATGTTTTATACAAAAGTTTTACAGTATTTTATGCTCTATATAATAGTGTATTCATTTATTTTTTAAATCAAATTTTTTAATTAACCCCTACCCCCATTTATCAGGGTTGCAAAATTAAAAAACTTTTTAAGAACAAAAATTAAAGAGCATCGGATGCCGAATCCATTCATGTATAATAATGTTATGGTTCCACGATTCAATTTTTCAGAAAACAAAATGATAATCGTGTTAAGACGCCACGCACGTTATCATCTCGTTTTCTGAAAAATTGAATCGTGGAACTATAACATTATTATACATGAATGTATTCGGCATCCGATTCTCTTTGATTTTTGTTGTTAAAGTTTTTTAATTTTGCAACCCTGATAAATGGGGGTAGGGGTTAATTAAAAAATTTGATTTAAAAAATAAATGAATACACTATTATATAGAGCATAAAATACTGTAAAACTTTTGTATAAAACTTTTTTTCATACGTGGCATAGTTTCGAAGATATTCGCTGAAAACGAAAAAATCTATTTTCTTCGTGGGGGTGTTTCACCCCCTAAACCTTGAGATAAGCCGCTATAAAAAAATATGGGTCGAATATTTTTTGATGCTTTACAACATATCCAAAGCGCATTAAAATCGGTGAGGGACAGTTCCGACCGTTCCCTTGTTAGTCATAAAAATAAATTGAAGCAAACGAATCAAAAAGACTTAAGTGACAATAATATTAAAATTTATAGCACTTTACCTTTTATGTTAAAAACTTTACAGAAAAATTTCAAAATGTTTACAGAAAGTATAATTTGAATATAGCATATAAATCTATTAATAGTTTAAATAAATTTATTAAGACGGGTAAGGAGATAAGTTGGATAAAATGTATAATAGCAATGTGGTATATAAAATTAATTATTGTAATTGCGATTGTTTTTATGTCGGGCAAACAAAAAGAAAATTAAAAACTAGGATTAAAGAACATAAAGCCGACAAAAAAAAAGGTGTTTCTAATAAGATCGTAATCAAGACAGAAAAATCGTCTCTCTGTTAAAACACTCACCTCTCTGTGAAAATTATCAAAAAATCCATGTAGGAAGAATGTTCGTTAAGTACTGGAGTCAATGATGATAAAATAAAAATATCAAATCACAACGATGATGTCGATTATAAAACTTATATAATTGATCACATTCTAAGTGTATCTTGTCTGAGAATATACTCTGAATAAGCGACTTATCCACACGACGTGCGAAACTGTAATGCGAGTCTGCTGGTAATGCAAAGTCAGACCTTGTTTATGATTGGTATATACGACCTATGAAGACCCTCTGTGTTTGTGTATTCTTCTCTGTGTCTTCTTCTTGTCTGTTTCTGTGTCTTCTTCACAAATTGACTCTTGAAGGCCTTATTCTTCGTTTTTGTATTTTGAATTTTAAGAATCCTGTATATTTTCTTATTATATTTATAATTTTAATTTTATAATAATAAATTTTAGTCACTCATTTATATGAATTCTCTTCCTAATTTTGCCCCAATAGAATGTTTTTCCTTCCTACATCACATTTTTCCCCTTCTCTTTAAATTTAGATGTCTTCTGGTTTGAGGTATATATATCTCTAAATTCAACTTGAGGTAACACTTTACGTTAATTTTTATAAGAATAACGAGATAAGGATATATCTTCCATGATCGAATGATTTTACGAGTTTTCAAGATATAGGTGAGATTATATTTTTTACACTTTTTAATATTGTTTTGTAAAACGTTATGACAATATCTAATTGGGCATATACATTTTAGTTTGGCAATTATATCTTGATGTTACTATCCTTGTAATTAATATTGTACATTGCAGGAATTTTCTTATCAATCGATAATTTCATCTCACGACTAAATACTCAATAACATTAAATTGAGTTATTTTATACTTTGACAACTTAAAAACTTTATTATATATACTAATTGTAACTGTTATTTTGTAATTGCTTATATCTTTATAATTTTATATATTGTGTTTATTTATACTGAAGATGGCCACATTCAGGGCCGAAACGTTTATACTTTGATTTATTATATCTGACATAATTATTGTAATTCTTTTAAATTTATATACGAATATATTAATGATATTTCACTAACAAGATCTAGTGTGTGGCATATGCTCAACCGTTTTTATTGTTTATTTATTAGCCACGTATTGAGGACAATTTTGATGATGATGATGTTGATGACGAGGATAATGAAGATTTGCAGCGATCAAGGACCTCGTCAATTGCCATTATTTCAATGTCGTGTAAGTTCAAAAAATCGGTTAACGAAACATAGAGTTAGTTCTGGAAAAAAAGAAAAATAACAGTAAAAATTACTTTCTAGCACGCGAAAATGAAGAAGAGGAAGAAGAAGACGAAGAAGAAGAAGAAGAAACTGACAATGACCTTTACGACTACGAGGACGACGAAGACGCCGGTGATATCATCGATGAGGCGAACGAAGATGTTACCAATGATACCGGCGACGAGGAAATCGATGATATGGTTGACGAAATTCCGGAGACACAGAATGTAACGCAGGAAGTCGGAGAAGAGGAGGGCGACAATTACGTCGAAAGTAATAATAGAATGTAACTGCCTATTACGGTCGGAGCTGGATCTTCGTTGCTTTAAATAATTCAATCTTGAATTACTAATATATACTATATATGTACTTGCATATATA